TTTTTCTGTATTTACAGGTGTATACGGATGCTGACATTTTGATTTGTTTACCTACTCGTGTTTTTCTGTATTTACAGGTGTATACGGATGCTGACGTTTTGATTTGTTTACCTACTCGTGTTTTTCTGTATTTACAGGTGTATACGGATGCTGACGTTTTGATTTGTTTACCTACTCGTGTTTTTTCTGTATTTACAGGTGTATACGGATGCTGATGTGACCAATATTGTCCCTGTTGAGAATGTTGAAATCACATGGCCAGACAAGTTTGGACATCTACACACTGACCGCAACTTCCAGGTGTACAGCTGTCTCAGTAAGTCATTATTACAAGGTCATCTCAAGGTTATTGCTAGGTAATTACTTAGTTAATTCAATTAATATGAAAAAGCCATTCAGTCAAGGCCAGTATTTTAGCTGTTGTTTCATTTCAAGGTCAAACTGCTAGCTATTGTATACATTTCAAGGTCAAATTGCTAGCTATTGTGTGCATGTCAAGGGCAAGTTGCTAGCTATTGTTTGTATTTCAAGGTCAGACTGTCGGATATTGTGTGCATTTTAAGGGCAAGTTGCTAGCTATTGTATGTATTTCAAGGTCAGACTGTCGGATATTGTGTGCATTTTTAGGGCAAATTGCTAACTATTGTTTGTATTTTACGGTCAGACTGTCGGATATTATGTGCATTTCAAGGGTAAATTGCTAGCTATTGTTTGTATTTCAAGGTCAGACTATTAGATATTGTGTGCATTTCAAGGTCAAACTGCTAGCTATTGTATACATTTCAAGGTCAAATTGCTAGCTATTGTTTGTATTTCAAGGTCAGACTATTAGATATTGTGTGCATTTCAAGGTCAAACTGCTAGCTATTGTATACTTTTCAAGGTCCAATTGCTAGCTATTGTTTGTATTTCAAGGTCAGACTGCTAGATATTATGTGCATTTCATGTTCAGACCACTTGCTATTGTGTGAATTTCAAGGTCAAGCCACCAGTTCGGTGAATTTCACGGTTAAACTACTAGCTATTGTGTATTTTAAGGTAAGGCTACTTGTTGTTTGTTGATTTATGAAGTATGTCTGATATCCCATTACTCTTATGTAAATGGTAATACTCTCTGTGTCAACATTTTCGTGTTAATAGAAACAGTGCAATTCATACAAAGTGAATCCTTTTGTTGGCAAACCTTTTTTGAAGTGCAAACATTTCTAATACTACATTAATTCACTAATGGTCAGAATTTGATACTTTTGTTGGAGTCTGACTGACCCTGTTACAAATCACAAGTTATATATATATCATTATGGATATCTCAGTCACTACTCCAATAATGTTTGAGAGTAACGTTCATATGTTTTGCACATGTTACAGAATGGATTGCTTCGTAAATGAAATAGTGTTCCTTTAAAGCATGAACCAGAATGGCTAGATTCTTTAAGGTTTAATCTCAATAAATTTTGTCAATCTTAACGATAAAGCTTCAGGGATGTTTTAATACAAACAGGCTATAAAACAACTCTATAAAAAGTTGGAATTTTAATTTGCGTATAAAGTGTTTAGGCGAATAGCACATTAACTCTCATGCAACATCCATCTCATTGAAAATTCGTGGGGAAGAAAATTCGTCTTTTGATTATATTTTTTGCCCGATTGTATAATGCATCACATTATTCATCTTTACAAACTCTGTCATTTAAATATACTGTCCAAAAAACTGGCTTGGTCTGTAGTGTATTTATTACATTTCAAAATGGCGAGACATTTAATTTACTGTCCAAAAAAATATATATAAAACTTCAAACGGACAACACTATCATATGTGTGTAGTATACGCTTGACTGATGTTACTTCATCGCTGAAATGATCACCAGACCGATTTACTGCATAGTAAACCTACACATCCTAATAGCGGCTCACAGCTGATGAGTCGGGCCATACACACTAGAGCCGGGTTGTAGAACGTGATGAATTATAAAATTTCCTATTAATTCATAATGCCTGTGAATGACATGTATGCAATGAGATGGTTTAAAGAATGACGTGTATGAATTCCACAGGAAACACTGTATTTAACTGTGTATAAATAACTGTGATTTAAATTGTACTTACTGCCACAAGGGAACAGAAATATCTGAAGGATCAAGATTAATCTTCAGAGAAATATTTGCGTTTTGAAGTTCATGCAGAATGAATATCTTTTTCCTGCAGATATCACATGATGAATGCCGTGTTATTTTGAGAATAGAGAGCATTTTTTGGTTGTTGCACATTGCAAAAGCAATCCACGTATGCACATCCATGTTGATGGCAAATATCAGAAGTTGAAGCTATTTTGGCTGCTATTATTGTAATGTAAAATCGGGACAGCTTCAGACGTTGATTGTGATTAAGTAGAGTTGTTGGATGGATATACATGCAGAATCCATGCTCAAGCCCAGGAAAATTAATTGGCAGTATCGGCAAACTATAGACGGCTATATTTCATTGGCTGACAGTATTTAGGAATATATGTAGATTTCTCTGGGGAGAAATTCACTTCCTGCTACGTTTTTCAATTTCCTTTTCAAAAATTTAAAGGGAAGTTGATCGTCTAAATTGTTGTGTAAAAATTTCCACTCACTTTTTCCTGAAATAATTCTTAGAACAAAAAATCATTTGTCAATTAAGATAACATAAGGACTTTCTTTTTGATATTTTCTGGGAGTTTATGTATCGATTCTTTGAATTGTTTATCAGTTGTATGATTGCAATGATGTTTTAAAGGAAATGATGTACATTATCTGCGTATAAAAAAATTGCAGCAACAAGATATTGGAGTGAACAATATACACAAGTTTAAACATATAATGGGTCTATAACAGATAAGATGTTATGACAAAGAGGTATTGTGAAACCGTTCAAAGGAACAAATGTTGTATACATATTTAAGTGATTTCTAGGTACATGGACCACTTGTGATAGGAGTCCAGATAATTTATGAACTGATAGTCAACATGATTCTTTAAAAGACTGACGAACACAGACTTTTTGTCAGAAAATTATATCTACAGACGAAGAATCATCACAAACTTTCTGTGAAAGATTCAACCAGAATCTTTGTTTGCTGACGAAACATAAAGAGGAAAGAAATTCTATACAGAATAAGATTATCTAAGTGGAGATACTTAGGGAAGAATTTATACACAGTATCTAAGGTTACTGTGATTGAACTAATGATGAAGTCATTTGGCCTGAATTTTACATTGTTTTCACTACTTTGTGCAGCGGGAATCTTCACGAGTGCGGCCCTGCTGGTACCCCAGGGTTGTGAGTTCCAACACTTGAAGTACAATGAGTGCGCTGCCTACACTTTCTGGAAGGAAAATGCCAACATGACCTGTCGGGACAAGAGCATGTACATGCAGGACTTCTCCATGTTGCTCCCCTGCGATGTCGGCATGTACGCCGGTGTGGAATACGTCTGTTGCAAACCCGCACACACAGGTACGTCAATGTTGTTCTGTTCACATGTTAGGTGTGTGTATTAATCACCCTTTAAAACGTTTGTTTCTTTGTCATACATACTTTTTCTAGTCAACTCATTCAGCCCTTAGTGTCTTTAGGGGTCAATGAGTTTAAGAGCAATACTTTGTCTCCTTCCCCTAGAATTGACCAGTGAAAATAAATGTTTTGGTTAAAAAGACCTTTGTAAATTGTTTATGACTATCACCATTAAATAATGGAGGTTGTTCAAACAACATGAAGGATGTTGGCTGTCTACAAGACAAGCAAGGTAGGTACACGGAGGGAGACCTTGTTCATGATTCTGTGACATATTGCTGAAATTGTATATTATATTAATTCAGCTTTGATATCTTGCAAAATTTGTTTTTGGCACATTCAGTCTCAATCTGATCACGTTTTAAGTACATCACAAGTTGACATTTATCTTAATACAGTTTTCTTATCAGTAGATATTACGTAATCCTTCGGTGTTCATATAGAGAGAGTTCAGTGTCGTTCTTCAGAGTCGGTTGATATTTACGATTACACAGCATTATCCCTTCATTAAATTACTGTAAAGAATGTTTTTTGAAGGGTTCTAATTTTCCCTATTTTTGTGGTAATAGTTTCCCCCCCCCCCCAAAAAAAAGTACCAAATTCATGACAAATAAATCTATCTTTACCTTAGCAGCTTGTGCTATATGGCCACTAGACTCGAAATCTGAAAAATAGATCCAGCGAAATAGATAACTCTTACACCCCTGAAGACACATTTGAACTCTTCCAATTTAAAGGTTGGAATATATAGTTCATTATGAAATTTCAGGGGTGAATGACCAGGTGAGATAATCTAACTGTTACTGCCAGACTAGTCATTATACTGAAATATCAATGGCTGGTATACTGGGGCCGTGCAGACAGTTTATGTTTGCCAGACATGCAAGTTTTCCATCACTTTTCGTCAAAGTGTCTCGGCAACCGGTACTGGAGGGAATGTCCTTTACAAGCATAATCTGTGGTCAGGACTGCATAGAACACATGCTATCAAGCATTTCATTGACTATGACTCATTAAAGCTCTGGAGATTGGCTAAGATTAGTTGCCACAAGTTTCCTGATGTCAGAGATGTGTGTCGGTTTACAATGATGAGGTAATCTGATGACAGTGGTACGTGTGTTTCTATCAGGACAAGCTGATAGATCTTCGGTAAATCCTTAGAAGATGAAGTAATCCTGATTAGTTCTATGTGATCAATATTACGAGGCCCCAAAGATAGCCCGACCAATTGATTTCTTTGAGAGTATATTTTCGTAGATTATGTTTTTCTTAATGACTTGGGGTACCATGATTACATGGGTATATTCCAGCTGAAAAGTTATTACAACATTAAATCAATAACACTTCGTATTTATAACATATATGTAAATATAAAGTAAGTCCACAGTATATAGGAATACATGAAAAAAACTGTATAAGAAAGTTTGCTCCCTTTTAAGTACTTGCGATATTATTATACAAAAAATGGGGTAAGTGTGACGATATTTTTACCAAACAATTAAAGAATATAATTCTTTTGGATGAATGTAAAGGGAAAGCATGTTTATATATACCATCTATGTACTAGGGGGTACAATGATTTACACAAGTTGAGAGATCGTTTCCTAATCTTTCTGTCTTTCATATATACAATTTATGGCCTGATTAGGAATATCTTGTTCAAGGTAAATGTAATATAGAAATCAATATTGTAGAAAGACAACAAATCAAATTGCAACTAATTTTAATCCATTTAATAAAAAAAACCATTTAAAGTAAATTAAGGATACAAGTAACCTCTTTTGTGCTGTGAAGACAGAAGATCTTACTGTACGACAGGCATGCAGGGTTTATGGTGAGGGGAGGAAACCCGGCTTTGTATAAATGTGTAATACTGGTGGAGTTTTCATACTCAAGGGAGTTGTTATCTAAATGGGTTGTTTGTAGACTGTCTGAAGGCTTTGTCCGCAACACAATTGCTTAATTTTAATAGCCGATGGTCAGACAACATTGTGGTGGTCAGTCTGGTATATGAATAGATTTATATGTTCCTTGGTCAATAAAGTCTTGTGACCATTGATTTTGGCTGATGTTTTAATTTGGTCAAGTTGGGTCAGCTTAACTTGGGAGAAAAAACAACCAGGAGAATATAAATACTGTAGCACACATTTTAGATAGGAGAATTTGGTTATTGAGAATAAAAATCTGAAAATTTCCTCTAGGAGTAAAGTTTATTTTTTCTAAAATATCATTTAAACTGCAGAATGTAAGTTTCTGTTATTTGAAATTTTCTATTTATCAGAGTTGAAATAATCTACTGAAGAAGGAAAAAGATGCAAACTTCCTCATTTCTTTCCAATTCCCAATAAATCTCGTCAATGATTTTTGGGTTGTAAGTTTAACCCTGTCACCCCTATGTGACTTTAGTAGACTCTACCATGCATTGATCTGGAAGAGTCCATTATGATCTACAGTGGTGAAAGGGTTAAAGATATTGTTATGAATAATAATCATGACATGGGCAGGTCAAATTCCCTGTTCAGAGCGATATGTGGTCTCAGAGATTTTGATGTGTGATAAAATCGAAATCTGTTCATTTAAAGTTTCCTTGTAGACTTTTCCATTATTGCATCATCATGAGTCTATACTATTTATTCCTTGTTGTTATGATGTGCTATCTGTATCATTTACTAATGAATGTATAGAATTATTTAACTCATTCACCCCTGAAGTTTCATAATGAACTATTCCAACCTTTGAATTGGAAGAGTTCAAATGTATTTTAAGGGGTGATCGAGTTAAGTGTTTGTCTGGAGAAAAGTCTAAAATTACATCATATACATATGATCACCTGCTCGTATTTTAAGGAAAAAGTGAAAAGGTTTCACAGGTAAATTACGACGTTCAGAGCATCCTTATCAGTTCGTGAATAAGGATGGGGACATCTTCAAAATCACTCAACCATGTCATATTAGCTAACATTGGTATATCATTGGTTCAGCTTCAACGATTTTCTGTATGTTCGTATTATATATTTTTGAAGGAAGTAAGTAATTTATTCCATAAGTGGATTTTGATGTTTATGTGATTACCTGGACCTGTTTTGTGTCAAAGTATGTAGACTGCAGGCAGTAACAGCCCTACCTCAGAATATGTATTGATGGTACTCAATCATTATAAAGTTTTCATAAAAATACTGTACCTATTACAATTGAAATTACTTTGTTTAGGTAAATTTTTATTTATTTACTTTTTGCATATATCTAATTTAAAATTTTGGCATCAGTCTTAAATTTTATTTGATTAATTGCAATGTTTATATAAAAATTTGTTATGACAGCTCGTTCTTCATCTGTTTTACTACCTGTTTAGCTGGTATAAACACAGGAATGAATTTAAATTCATTTTTAATTTATTTGAGATATCATTAAAGGTTCCGAAATATATGTAACTAAGTTCCTTTTCTTAATTTATTTCTGTGGTTTCAAGTTTTATTCATCAAAGAACCTGTTTATCTTAAATTTTATTATCATGGTGAGTGCAGTGTTGATTGTATGAGGTGATTAATGTGTGTCCCTGATTGGAATTTGGACGGAATGCCTGAGGGTTCTTAAACTTGTTGTGTTAAAAGGACATTGAAGACACCAATATTGAAACTGTACGGAGAAACTTAGACTGGCTGCCAGCCCCTAACTTTTTATGAAGAATTTCTCAGCTGCATTTTACTACTAGCTTATCTCCCCCTAGTTTAGAACTTAGAATCAGACATCCAAGTGATCAAAATTGTTTGAGTTCAACTTTTTTCTTTATATTTCAATATTCTAGAGACGGTGGCCAGTCTAGGGGAAACTGTTCAGTCAAAAAATCCTTATTTACCCAGTGAGAATTCCACCCTTCTCATTCGAGTTCTCTGTAATTGTAATGATAACTTCTCCTTCATTACGGAAAGTGAAAAGATGAACATTAAACTGCAGTATCAACTTCCTTGTTCTCAGCTATGTTGCCAGTATTGTAAAACTACACTTGGAATCTGTATTCTTTTCTATTTTGGTTGTTTCTCTGTAGGCCCATCGTTAGTTTAACCCTTTCACCCCTAGGAAACTTTAGTAGACTCTACCATACATTTATCTGGATGAGTCCATTATGGTCTACAGTGGTGAAAGGGATAACGACTGTTACTGGTTTAAGTGTCATGTTACAGTGCTCAGGTTATGATATTTTGGTGAGATTGCACTTTAATATTGACTTATCATCTGTCGACACGACTGTCATGTGATAATATGAGCTCTTTTGGGGATGCAAAACCCTGACCAACAAACAACTTGCACCAATAATTATTAGATTGAGTACCTCTAACATGACATTGGAACGTTACCGAATCAAAGACTGGGCAAGTCTAGTTTAAATATGTAGGGGTGAATGAGTTAAGTTATAGTGTGTAATTAAAATGCATAGAAGAATATTCAAATGTTCAACTGTTGGAATTTAGAAGAAAAAAATTTGACTCCATTGGGTTGCGATGAATCTGGTTTTGACAGGCCTTTTTCCTGCTACAGTCTCAGTGTTGGAATCGCATGGATTTCTACTGGTGCAATGCTCGCCTAGAACTCCAGACCTGTAAAGTTGTATTGATTTTCCGACTCCTGCTACAGTCCTGGTAATGCTTCCATGTCTCATCTGGTAAGGTGAATCACGGGTTATGTAATGCGTCAACAGGTCGTTTTAATTTCAGATGCAGAGGCCCGTTATGTATCGTTTACGAGTACGAAAACTGAGGTCTTGTTAAATGGTCTCTTGTCTGGATTCTTCGAAATGTTTCTTTTATAATAAATTTTGATTTAATTGAATTGAAACTAGGCCTTAGAGATTAGATTAAAATTGGCCTTAGAGATTACACAAGTATAGATATTCTCTGTCTAGAACAACCAACTTATACACGAGTACCACTTTCTTTTTATTAGCAA